CAGGATGATGCCTGTCTCCATTTTACAGACAGGAAACACAGGCAGAGACAGCTGAAGTGACTTGCCCAAGGTCATGCAGTGAGTCTGGGTCAGAGAAGCCTAGACTGCCTAGATCAGGACTTTATCTGCATGTCAGGGCTGCTACCAGTCGGGCTGCCTCATATAACCACATGGGAATAAACTGATTCTATGATTTGGGGTCCCACTTTCCTTGCCATGAAAGGGAATGATCCATGGCCAAGAAATGCAAAATCTGTGCATTTCAGCTCACAAAGTTTCCCTAGAGCTGTCCATTTCCCAGTCAACTGGCAGGCTCTCAAGAGACGGGCACAGCTGAGTCCTAAGCCTGGGTGTTTTCTTCTCACTTCTTCTTTCTGTATGCAACAGGCTGTGACACAGCCAGAAACTTCACAAGGAAATCTGTCCTCATGATCCTTCCTGCCCAGATTTTCTAACTCAGGCAATGCCCATCACAGGCACTGAATCAACATCCGGGTGCTTGGAGCTTTCCCCATCACCAGTGTCTTTCTACAGGAATGGACATATGCATTGGCAAAGCACCAGTCCTGGGGAATATCAGGATATAAGATGGAAGCAAAGAGCATTGGTACAGGTGCTAACAGCAATTAGCTCCCAGTTGTCATGATTTTGTGCTTCCACACAGTGTCTGTGGATGGAATTGGTGTTGGTGTCAGTGCAAAACAAAACCCAGGAACTAGGATATACATTATGAGGGAGTTGAAACTTGGGAAAGAAACTGAGGTGAAGCGAAGAAGAATGGAGATAATCAGAAGGGGCTAACAACTGGTTAGAAACTATTTACAATTAGGTGTCTCAGGTCTGTCAAAATGGGCCCTGGTTCAGAGCTGCAGAGAAGAGAATCTCTGCTGTCTATTGAGAGCCTAGAGCTTTGTGGGGTGAAACATTAGGTTGGTATGGAAGCTGGAAGGGTCAGCTTTGGTTTCCTAAAGGAGCTGCTCTCCCTGCTCTTGTGGAGTAGATGAAGCCAAAAATACCACTGCCACCATGCTGTTGACTCAAGAAGGATGTGTTCTCCAGGGCCTGCAGCACATAAGTGACTACATCTCCACATGAAAGTTGCTGGCCAGGGAAAGGGTGTTCACAGCACATGGCAGGGTGCCAGTAGTCAGACACTGTCTATGGCACCACCTGGTCCATAACATCCATCACAGAGCACTACAGTTCCTACTCCAATCATACATCACCACTGATGAGGTCCAGAGTCCCCTCTGTAATGGGCATCTTTTTCCCAGCTGAAGCTTGTGCATCTCTCCCTGGCCACATCCTTGGTCTTCTTGGTGACCCTGCATGCCACTTTCCTCATCTGCTTCATGCCTTGCTTCATAGGCTCCACACAAGTCCTCACACTTCTCCATCTCTTTCCTCCAGGCCACTAAAGCCTTTACATGCCTCTTAAGAAGAGTCTACCAGCTCTTTCCTACTCCTCTTCATCTCATGACCCCCTTGAGCCCACTGCAGCTGCAGGTGCTGATCCTGGAAGGCAGGAACTATAACAAGTTGCCTTTGATCCATTCTCAGCATTAGAGTTTAAAAAACCCCCACCTCTCTGAAGCTCCTGGGGTGCCATTGCCAAAGTCCCTTCCCAGCTCTGGGAGTCCCTGGTGATGGCAGGTTCTCTCACAGGCCCTGAACACCTAGGAAAATTGCTTGGACAAACCAGGCCCGGGGAAAGGAGCAGAGGTTAGTGTTTGGCTTGCCCCAAAGAGGCAGTGAGCCATGCACCACTTCCAGTTTCTAGGATGTGCATCCAAGAGGAATTTGCAAGGTGAAGGGTGTCGAGTGAACCTGAGAATTGGCATAGGAGGCTTAACACACAATCCATGCAGCCAACCTCTGCAAGAGGCAGCAAGAGGGGAAGGGAGCCCCTGTGGAAGACATCTTTGGTTATGCTCCGGACAGGTTGGTAATACCCAGGCACAGCATGACACAAAAAGCACACTCATTCACTACAATCACCCCCAGCTTGGATACTGAGGGGATCTCTGTTGGTGACAGGGTGACTGGCAGGCAGTCTGTTGGTGGGGGCTGCATCAATCCAGGCCAGGTGTTTGCACATACAGATCCTCAGTGCTCTCCTCAAAATGTTTTCCCCCAAACAGGTTCTGGGTCTCTGGGACCTACTCTCCTCCATATCAGTGATATCTGTCTTATCCAAGTTGCCAGCAGAATAAACCCCAAAGTGTTGTTCGATTTGGGAATCCATAGCCAAGACCCTGTAAGCTCCCTATAAAGAGCTGTGGCACTTTTGGCAGCTTTGTACTGCTATTTGAGGTCCTTCACCCTGGCCTTACACTACTTCCCATCTTGCTGTTGGCTCCAACCAGCCACCTGCTTGGAAATGGTGTTACGTTGTCTTGGTTCTGATGTCTACTGGTTGCAGTCTGTTGCACCTTTTCCTACAAATAAAAGGGTGGTGAGGTTATAGACCACTTCATAGCAGTGGCTGCTAGAACAGCAGGCCAGAGCTAGTCTCTTTGACAAAGGTACTGAATAGTCTTAAAGCAGAAGAGAGGTGACATGGGGAGGAACTTCCAAAAGAGAGTCCCAATCTTTAGAGCATTCAAGCAAAAAAGGAGATTCTGGCCTTATGCCAGATTTTAAAGGGTGAGGTCTCATCCAGGGACCGTGGTCTCAGAGCAGAAGGCTGACCAAGTGGCCAGTTGAGAGAACTGCAGAGCACTGTAGCATATCACTCAGCTAAATCAAAGAGGAGCTGCTAACAAACAGACACGCTTGAAATGTGTGAGATTTATTCCCAGTTCATTCAAGGCTACATTTCCCACAGACGGAGTGAAACTAAACCACTTGCAAGGTTGGCATTAGAGGCAGCAGCTTTATTAAACCAGCACAAGATGACTATGTATAGCTGGAGTGATTTGTTCAAGCCCCATCACACAGAGGTGTGAGCAGTACGCACAGAGAGTTCAATTCAGGCCCTCATCTTCCTTTCATTGTGCCCTTTCCATAGCTTCTAACATGGCATAAAGAGAAAGTTAGCAATTCAGGAAATCTAAAGGGTCACACTCCTTCCTGAGACAATTGTAACCAAGTCAATGGTAATGTGTCAAAGCAGAATTTCTGTTAAAGGTATTTTATGGCTCCCGTCACCAGTGTCTGGATGCCTGAGGCTCTTCATGTTTGTTCACACAACCCTGCAAAGCAGGGCAGTGCTCTTGTTCCTATTGTACAGACAGGGCTATTTGTTATGTAGGCACTGTAGGCCTAGGACCACCAGGAAACCACAAACCCCACAACCACAATGATTAGAGGGAGGCTACTATCTGTATACTAACTAAATTCTTGGGACAAAGGATGATCAAACAGGAATGCGAGTACAGGATATAGGTTAATAACTAAGGCTGCCTATACCTGTACTCGGAGGTGGGAGGGGAGCTGTTTTAATTGCAGCAGTTCCTAGACAGCCGCTCTAATTAAAATGCCTCATCGACGTATGCATTAAGCCTGTCCCACATTTCAAAATGGCTGTGGAGGCGTTTTAACTGACTCATTCAATCAGGTTTAGTTAAAGCTCCCCCGTGGCCATTTTGAAATGCGGGGGTCTTAATACACATGATGATGAGGTGACGCTGGAGCTTTCTAATTAGAACATGGAGCAGACTCAATTAATGGAGTCTGCTTTGACTCATTTTAACCAGAACATGGACCAGCACATCTATAGGCAGCCTAGACTTCTAAGGGGGGACAACCAAGCAGAGAAAAACCAGCCAGTACCCACTGCCCCTCAAACATACGTAACGAGCTTGTGAACATTGCCCATTGAAACTCATGGGAGACATGCTCAGAAGGAAGGAAAGGAAAGGTCATAGCCTCAGAGAAAGGAAAATAGCCCCACCAGGGCCTGGGCTCTCCCCAGCCAGCACAGGAAACTGAAGCCTAGAGGATTTAAACTCTGGTCAGTGCTCAGTTTTGCACTGACTCTTTCCATTAGAGATGCAATTCTTCCACTGAAGTAGCAATACCTGTACAATACCAATGCATTTGTGTTAGCAAAACCATGTGCTTCCCAGATTACCTTATTCTTACTTCTCCTGAGCAAAATAAGCCATCCCACTAAAAGCAGTTTTGCTGGTATAGCTATACATTGGTCAGATCACAGGCCTCGCTAATGATCCTATAGCATCAGAAATGGATATTGCAGGCTTGGCTTTGCGCCCATCTGAGATTCGTCCTTTCCTATGGGAAATAAGTGGTTGTATTACTCACTTCCAAGACGAGGCTTTTCCCCCTGTTCAACATGAGGAAAACAAAGCTTTGTCTTAGAATTATCAAGTGCAAATGCTGTTCCTGCAAGTCAGAAGGGGTCCCGGTGCCAGGAATCTACTTAGTGAGGCATGAAGTGATGAGGGACCCAGCACTGAGGCACAGGACAGTGAGGGTCCTGGTGCAGATGCACCCAATACTGAGACAAGGAGTGGCGGGGATACAAGCAGGGGAGCAGGCAGCCAAGGAGAAAAGTGGCTGGGGGGCCCCCAGAGGAGCAAGTGATAGGGAGAAGCAGTTGGGGGGAGGGGCAAGTGGAGGGGAGCATGAATGACGCGTGCCCCCAGCGGTTGGGCAGGCATGGCAACAGTGGGAGCGCAGTGGCAGTAAGCGGGAGCTCCCGCAAATGCCGCCAGCACTGTTGGCAGTGCAGGGGTGATGAGTGCCAACCAGGGGTCGGCAACCACCTGCAGACGCCACCAGTGATGGCGGTGGCGGGGTGGCAAGCAGAGCCTTTTTGTAGAGGGTGCACTGCCACGATCAGGGGGTTCACGTGCACCCACATGCAGCCCATATGTGTCACCCCTGGAGGGGAGACATGTTGTGGGGGCAAGGGCTAAGGGCCAAGGGCCACGGTCAAGCTGTCTGCCTTCCCTTCACTTGCCTCCCTACCACTGCTTTCCTGCTGCAGCAGTTAAGGGGTGGATGCATTTAAGACAACCCTCCTATAATTAGATTCCAGATATGAAAAATTATAACAAATTTATAGTTAGGACCAGTAAAGGGACTAGGAATATGGGGTAAAGGTGGCTCCGCTGCTCAGTTTCCAGCAATGGAGTCCCAAAGGGCTCGTGCTGATGGCAGGAGTGCAAAGGATAAACGCACTAATACCTGTACTGCTGCCACTTGCCCCACCACCCCCGCTGCTGCTGCTTGTTTTGCTGCTGTCACTGGGCCTGGATCAAGCCTAGGAGGACAGTTGAGTTTGACACCCCTGAGCTATATTAGTTTAGCTTTACATTGGTATATAGCTGTGGTCCCCTTTGCCACAGAGGGATAGCTAAGGCAATACACTTTTTTGTGCACAACTTCTAATGGCCTTCTCTGGGATCACATAGGAAATCTGTAGCAGAGCAGAAAGTTGAAACCAGGTGCCCCGAGACCCAGGCTAATCCCCCTGACCATTGGATAGCACTTCCTTTCTCCAAACTTGGTCTTACTTTTTGTGTTACTCCATAGACATAACTAAGGCCAATAAGAGCTGCCTTACCTAAAACATCATTGTAAAACTGATTCCATTCTCTCCAGAAAACCTGGTGAAACAGAACATCACAGAGTGTGTAAAAGAGTGCTCTTCATCCTCTCCATAAAGGACATGTGGTCTGTCAGACCACTCACACTAGCAGGAACATATGAAGCTGGGGCTGGGATCCCCCCACAGCTCCGCTCTACTGTGTTGCTGGTAGAGAAGCGGAAAGTGTATATGAAAGGGATGCCGAGCTGTTCTGCCACTAGATCAGAGCACGGGAAAATGGGATCTGCCAAGACCACTTCAAAGGCAGCCCCTCTAAGTTTCTTCATCCGCTCCTTGTTCCCAGTGAGCTCATCACAAATCAGTTTGCTTCTGGATATGAACTTTGTTGTAATGTCAAACAGCCTGGAAAAGTAGCCCCAATAGGAAACCCTAGACATTTTGCAGTGGTGCAGCTGGAGGAAGTCTTCTGTTAGGGATCTCATTTCCTCCTTGGTGATTGGCACCATAATCATCTCAAAGCTGAAAGGGGAAGGCTTAGTCGGATCAACAGTCTGAAAGCAGGGCCACAAGGTGACAGTGCCTTCATGGTCTGTGAGTTCTTGCAAAAAGGACTTAATATCAATCCAGTGGCTGTTGTCAGCTGGCCAGACCTGAACCTTCCCACAGGACCCTAAACCCAAACAGGATGCCACAAGCAGGAAAAGTGCTGAAACCCATCTTCCAGACATTGTGTGTGGCTGGTCCTGTCTTCTCAGTTGCTCCTTTCTGCTTGCTTGCTTGCTCCTTTTGATGCTGGATCCAGTGATTGAAAGGACAACCCACAGCAATTGCATGCTGGAACCTCCAACATTAGCTCACCTCTGCTACTTCAGGGTACATTAAACATCCTGGGGAAAACAACAGTTTTGCTAGTACAAAATCCTGTCTTGGATAAAAGAGCAGAAACTCCCTGCTTCAGTTCATGCCCAGCAAGCTGACTCATGCCAGACTGCTCCCAGTCCTGGGGAAATTACTGAAATAACAATTTGGTCTGGGCTATTTTATCATTATTATTTTACTGTTTATGGCTCTTTGTATGGATAGACATAGAAACCAGACAGAGCAATGCCACTAAGCAGATTAGCAGTGCCTTACTGAAGGAGAATGAGTAAAGAAATTCATCTTCAGTGATACAGTATTTCTGTATACGGGCTTTGGAAACTTCTGTTTTCATTGAATGGCTGCTTACAATTTTAAGCTCCAACCAAACCACACTGCAGCCACTGGGGAAACTCTCACTAGCTTCTAAAACATTAAAAAGGAAATCTTATTTTTTTATGAAAGCATTAGGGTTCCAAACTCCTTCTACTGGAAGACTTTCCCAGTAGCCAGATTTTCAGGCTGTGTAGCCCTTTGGGTCCAGAAGTATGGTGAGAAGGGGCTGTAGTGGCATAAGAATTAGGGCCATGACATTTAATTCAGCCTAACAGCATTGAGAGGCTTCAAAGGAGCTGAGACGGAAGCTGGGCAGGCAGCAACGGGCGCATCTACATTTGCCGATTTAAGGCTCACTAGCGAATTTTAAGGCACATTAAGGGTGTGGGTCTACACAAGCGTGTCCTTAATGTGCCTTAAAAATAGCTATTTTAGGCTATTCATGCCTAAATTTGATACCTGCAAAAGCCTGAAGATCTGGCTACCTGGAAAGTCTCCCAGTATAGGGAGTTTGGAACCCTAAGGTTTGGGGGGGCAAGGAGTTGGCTTTTTTTTTTTTTA